TTATTTTTTGGCAGCTAGCTGAGAGTGCGACACACCCGTCGACTGCATTTCCCAAACAGGAGGAAGACGAGTACGACTACTTGAATCTTTCTTTGGCACTAGGGGCTGTTACCTGCGCGGTTGCGTCTGCCATTTTTGTCTGGAAGCGACATAGCAATTCTTGACAATGGATGCATGTACGTATGTATGTTGGAAGTAGGTATTGTGTATACATGCTGGCATGTGCTGGGGCGTGCCTAGATATACGTATGTACAGTGTACTTGGAGACATGTACTTAGCGAGGCGCACTTGAATGTGGCTGGGAGGCTGGTTTGTTAGCCTGTTGGTGAACCAGGAATCAAAGACGATGTTCCAAGTTGTCAGAGAAAGGGAGATGGCTAGACGACCAACGAACCAGGCAGACTGGTGGCTGGCGTGTTGTAATGGTGATGGTGATGGTGATGGTGCAGTGTAGCGTGTGCATGGGCAGGCTGGCGAGGGCGATCATGTAGGCGTAGGCGTAGCGTAGCGTACCGTATTGTACGCGGCTGGCGTGGCCAACGGGGGGAGTGCACAGCACACGGGATTGGCTTCCCACGAGCGACACGCCCAAGGAGGCGCCGCCATGCAGGGTGACAGGCAATGCTGGACATGCACGCCAGGACGGCGGCTGTTTGGGCAGAGCAAGTGGAGCAGAAAAACCAATGAGTAGAGAGAGTCCCCCTTGAGGCATGGCGAGTCATGGCAGGGCTTCATCGGGTCTTCTCCGCTGCGGTAGACGCTCCTAACGCAAAGCGGCGCTAGCCTGGGCCTGCCTGACAACTGTGTGCACCTGGGACCACGACCGCACCGCATTGTCTTGCCTGCTGGCCATGGTCGCTCTCGCTGTGCCTTACCAGACGCCCGACGCCTTTGCTCATCCCTCTGTCTGTCGCTCGTTATCCGTGGATGTCCTCGCCGCTACGGCGCTGCCCTAATCACCCCAGGCCGCGGCATTTGACCCAGCCCCAAACCCTCCCTCATCCTTGTCCTCCGCAACCCTCGCGATATGGTGAGTCTCTCCTCCCTCCCCTGCCCGCCCGCCCGCCCGACCACCGCGCATATTGCCTCTCCTACCCAGGCTAGATACAGCCGTGGATGCAGCACTGCACACGACCAAGGGGGGCCACCACCACGAAGCACAAGAGGAGAATGCGGCATTGCTGCTGCTGCTGCTGCTTGTGCTGCTAGTACTGCACTCCCGGCAAAAGTCCGCACAGCCCATCCAAACGCCCAAGCTGACCACGTTTCGCTCTACCACAGGCAACCGATCGAGCACAAGAGCTGGACCGCCTGTACCAAATGCGGAACCCGCCCCGCCGAGGCCACGCGCCCCAGATTTCTATCAGCGATGACAACCATCACGTCACCGAGGCCATCGGCGACCTCTACGGCGGAGACAGCGACACCGAGTCTAACAGACGCAGCCTGAGGCCTCTAAGCTTCATCCCCAGCCCCAACGGCGATTCCATCCAGTCTTTTGGTGCCTTTGAGGCCTTTGACCCCTTCCCCAACGCTCCTCCGGCCAGGTCCCCGCTACGGCCCCAATTGTCCTCCGACCACCCCGCCTCCCCAGCCAGCTCATACAATGGTTCCGACGCGCCCCAAAACAAGGTTGCGCTGGGTAGGGACTCGTCCAACGGCGACCACATGTCTCCCCCGCTGTCTCGTTCAAACTCGGGCACTGCCTCGCACCAGTTTCCCCTCAATGATCTCGACTACGAGTCGAGCCCTGCCGGTCTCGCGCAGGAACTGAGTAACCTGCAGGCTATCCGGAGGATGTCCATGGGCGTCAACAGTGCTGATCCGGATCTGCCGTCATTTCAATCTGCCAACTCGCCCCCGTCGCCCCCCGCCGTATCGGAAGAAGACGAGTCGAAGCTGTTTTGGGTCCCCGCCCGATTGCACCCCGAACTCGCTCCCATGGAGTTCAAAACGTTTATTGAAGACAAGATTGACAAGACCAGGCGCCGCTCGGGAGATTCGGACTCGCTAAATCCAGACGCTGCTCTCGGACGTCAGGGTTCGGGAGCTGGGCTGCGGCGGAAGAAGTCGATGCTCTCCAGACAGATTGACACTGGTTCAGGCTACAAGGATGGGGCCGAGAGGCTCGAGAGGAAACGCTCTGGCGCCAGCAAACCCAACGGAGGTCTGGACAACCTCCAGGAGCTGGAGAACATCCAAGAAGATCCCGTGTCACTCATAAGGCGCATGAGCATTGACCACAAGACCTTTGGTGGCGAAGGTGAGCTGGGCGATGACGGAGATTTGCCCATTGTCCCGGGTAGCAAAATGGGTGGCATGGGAACGCTGAAGCGATCCACACGCACCACCTATAGACGAGGCAGTATACGAAAGGGAGGCCCGGCCCTTTCGCGGCGACTGGTTAGCGGCCGACAGGCAGAGACGGATACCGAAGACTCTCCCTCTACCTCGCCTGTACAGTCTACAGACAGCATACCCGAAGTCCCTCCCCTACCTCTCTCCCGTACCCATTCTGAACCTGTTAACTCAGCGTTTGAAGAGTCGTCCAACAACTTCTCAAGGCCTCCTCCGCCGAATCGCACGACTTCCAACATTGAAAGACCAAGCTCAGCAGAAGAAGCTCCCGGTTCAGCTTCTCCTGAGCAGAAATCGTCTCCTCAGCCAAGACGCTTCCATTCGAGAATTGCTTCCAACGGCCGGACAACAGCACCTCTGCCAGGATATGTTCCTCCCCAACAACAGGTACCTCAGATTATCGAGACATCCCCCCAGCAAGACCAAAGACCGCTGCAACTGCCCGAACGGTCCTCTTCACGTCAACTTCCGCCTCCGTCTCAACAGCAACCAGCTGGTCCTCGCAGCTATCCACAGCCCCAGCAGCCGCCTTCGAACCAACAACGCCAGCCTCCTGCAGCTCGACAGAATCGCCATGCTCAGGCTGCACAGGCCTCTCCTATTAAACCCTCCCAGTCAATGGACGATCTGGTAGGCCATGGATCTCCAATGCCTGGCACCAGCAATCGGGTCGATTCCTTGTCAATCATTCCCAACGCTCCCGATGAGAGGAAGTTGGAAAAGAAGTCCAAGGACAAGAAGGATGGCTCCGAAGGCCCCAGGAAAACAAGTTGGGGATGGTTTGGTGGCGACAAGGAAAAGGAAAAGGACAAGAGCGAAAAGGACAAGGACAAGGATGCTGCTAAAAAGACCAAGAACAAGCTTAGTAAGCCCCAAGAAAAAGGACATGATGACACCAGACTCGATCTGCTGCAGACATCGATACAGGGCGGCGGCCGTGGACGCGAAAGCGTGGTACTGGACCGTGAAAATGTCAAACTGGAAGAGGAGCGCAAAAAGGAGAGTGCCAAGAAGACTGCCGGCGATGGCAAGAAAGAGAAGGAACATGGTTTGTTGTCAAGCATCTTCGGAGGTGGAAAGAAAAAGGGCGAGAAGGAGTCGTCTCATAAGAAGAATGCCTCTCGCGGATTGTCACCAGACCCCCCGGTACGCATCCTGAAGCCCGACATTGACTACAACTGGACTCGGTTTTCGATTCTCGAGGAACGTGCCATCTACCGCATGGCTCATATCAAACTCGCAAATCCCCGTCGCGAACTCTACTCGCAAGTTCTGCTCAGTAACTTTATGTACTCGTATCTTGCAAAGGTGCAGCAAATGCATCCGCAAATCTCCATTGGCAACTCGAAGCAGGCGAAGCAGGCTCAACAAGCCCAGCAGGCCCAGCAAGCGGCGCAGCAAAAGAAGGAGCAACAAATGCAGCAACAACAGCAACAGCTGCAGATGCAGCAGCAACAAGTCGCTCAGCAACCACAACAAGCGCCTCAGCAGCAGCAACAGCAAGCACAGCCAGAGGAGTTTGCTCAATACCAGCGGTACCAGCAGGTATGAATATCTTCTTTGTATTCACAGAGTCTAGCTGACAGAAGCTTAGCAACAGCAACAGCAACAGCAACAACAGTACGAGCAGCAAGAAAAGACTCAGGAGTGGCCTAGCGTATATCAGCAACAAGAAAATGGCTTCTCGCAGCAACCCCAGCAAAATGGGAACCATCAGAAGAGTGCCTCTCAAGGTGCCGCATATAACCAGAACCCACGCGACTCGCATCATTCCAACTACAGCGCAAATGGCGGTAGCGGTGGTGGCGGTGGTGGTAGCGGATACAGTGTCGCCAATGCCCATAACTACTTGGGCCAGCCGAGCAACGGTAGCTACACTCATTATGCCGAGTCTGGCCAGGGAGCGAAGACGGCTGATGATGACATGTGGTAGCCACCCACTCGGGAGTAGTAGGGATACAGGGTGGACGATAATGGTCATTTAGTCTCCCCTGGAATTACATCTGGTTTTCGTTTTTTAACATTTATTTCAAACTTCTGTGTAAAGTATTCTGGTGCGTCTTTTGCTTTATTGTGTAATTCTTTCTAGTTGTGAATGGAAAGGGTGGATGGATGGATGGATGGACGGATGGGAGGATCTGGTAACAACTTGAGGCGTTGGGATATTGCAGCGAAATAATGTTGATATTGAAATAGATGGGCAAGCTAAAGAAAGAAATAGGGTAGGTAAGCTCAGGAAAAATCAGATGAAAGCACGCGTTTTTCAAGAGGACACAAAAAGTGTAGCATCGATTTTGGTTGCAAGAGTTTCAGAATAAGCACGCGTGTATGGTATTTGAAGGGCATGTAATCTGTGTTTTTGTCTCTTTCGTCTTGGAGGGGGAAAATTCCCAAACCCAGATATTTCCGTTTCGGTCCTAAAATTTAACGTAGATTAAAAAATCCAGAAAAGGAACCATTCTGACGTCATTTTCCTTGCTTCTCTTATCAATCAAATGTATCACGTAAACATTTCGTTGCTTACCCACGTAGATGCCTAAATCCTTCTTGTACACTACCCCCTCTTCCATACACACCTTACTACGAAACTAACTCAAACAAAAACATATACTGAAAGGAAAGAAAGAGAAAGACAAAAAAAATGACAAGCAGCATACCCGGTCTCTCCACCAAACTAACACCCATCTACCCCTCTTCTTCTTCCGAGGAAGAAGAAGAAGAATCTGCCACAACAAAATCACTCATCTCATGCCTCGCCCTACAAACCCACATCGAAGGCGGATATTTCGCAGAGTTGGATCGGAATCCTTTGCTTATTCCGAATCCGTTCTTGGAGTCTAATGCGAACGAACAAGGTGAGGCAAATAGTGAGAGAACAGCAGAAAAACCTTCATCAGGCGACAACGCAGTACGCAATGCCAGTACGAGTATTTACTATCTACTTTCGCGGGGTCAGCCCATGGGCAGGTTTCATAGGAACAAGGCGAGGACTGTACGTTTTTTTTTTGGTTTCTTTTTCCTTTTTTCCCTTCTTTTCTTTTCGCTTTCATGCAGGGGGCGAGGCAAAGTTTAACTACTAAAGGAAAAATTATAGATCCACACCTTGATTTCTGGTCGTGGTCGCTACGTTCTTATCCATGCGGATGAACCGGGGACACCAAAGCGTGTGGAGAGTTTTGTGGTTGGTATGGATTTTGCGGCTGGAGAGAAGAGTGTGTGGGTTGTTGAGGGGGGGAAGTATAAAGCTAGTTTTTTGCTGGAGGGGGCGGAGGGGGAGAGGTTATTGGTTAGTGAGGTGAGGTTTTTTTCGGTCCTTTCCTTTCTATTCTTGTTCGTGTTGTTTGTTTTTGAGGAGGGGGAACTGCGATGCTGACGCTGGAGATTTTAGACGGTCATACCGGGGTTCGAGTACTCGGATCATGATTTCTTGACGTTGGAGGCGTTTAGGAAGATTGTGAGTCCGGAGCAAGCGGAAGAGTTGGAGTGGTTGGTACGCAAGTCGTAAATCAGATGCACTACGAGATATTACAAATCGTACTCCAAAACATGCGAATATCATTCTCTCTTTCGCTCAAAAAAAAACACAGGGTATGCAGCGCAGCTGAATGCTAAAAGAAATCCCATCTTATACGCCAACTCTGATGTGTCCCCCTTCCAAACATGTATTCAAAACAACAGCGCAAAATTTATGTTTGCGGCTCCCATGCAAAACACATCGAACCATATGCCCGACGTTTCCGTTTTTATATCATCAAATCATGAGTGCCTCGCCTGCAATGCAAGTCGTGATCTATACATCTAAACCGGTTTCATACCGTTGAACAGGGTATCAAGCTTCATCTCATTCAGGTCAGTCGACCATTCGCGTGCCTTGGGCAATGTCACTTTCCAGCCTCTGTCCTCCACTTCTTCGAGTATGGTTGCAATCTTGCGCTCGGCGTCGTCGATGTCTGTGGCACAGATAACGAAGGTGGTCAGGTAGAACATGGCAAAGGGATACTTTGAGTTTAGGAAATGCTGGATGTAGTACTGCCATGCGTTCGCAGATGAGGGTCGGTCAAATGCTGCAGTGATGTTAGGATTTGGATTGGAATCCAAATATGTGTAGAGGGTCGGGAGAAAAACTCACGCATTGCGTTCCATCGATAGACATGGCCTTCCCATGTCGCAAAATTCAACCCACTCTTGCCCAGGCTCTTGATTGCAGGCATGGGCCATGCACAGTAATGTGTTTGTATCGAGCCCTTTGCCATAATGGCATTTGGATGTTTTTGCTTGTACTTTTCTGCAAAGTCCCTCAGGCAGCTGGCTGGTGGAATAGGAAGTGACAGGGAGCGTCCGCTTTCAGAGACTTCTGTGGCAGTTTCGTATGGGAAGTAGAGATCAGGTGCACCATCAGCAGCCTGAAGGATGATTGGGCGAGTCTGCGGCTCCTCGTACTCTGTCATGAGTGTGACTATGCCGTATCGCTCCATGTCTTCAATCACGCGTCGGATGAAGCGGTTGTCGTCTCGAGAGATGTCATCGGCAGTAAGTTTCTTCTGCTTCGTGTTAAGCATCTTGCGGTCCGGGTCGTAACACCTCCATCGATTTCCCTCATGCTGTACCTCACCTGGCGGTGGGTATCGCATTTCGGTTGTACATTCAATCTGGATCTCCTCCAAGAAGATTTCTTGTACAGAAGGCGGTATGATCTCGCGAATAACCCGTTTGGCCATCTGCCTAGGCGATGGATCGCCGATGAGCATCATGAGTGTGTCCTGTACAATGTCGATGAGTCGGAAAGGTAGACCAACTTCCCGGTCGATGATTATGAACTGCCATGAGTCGACCACTATCGGGTCGTACATAGTAGTCTTCTTCATGCGCAAGTTGTCCTTGATTTCTTCTAGCGTCAACGTGGTGTTGTAGTCGGCTTTCTCTAGGTCATCCCGGTTCATTGCCGAACGATGACGGCTGATGAACAAATCAGGTTCGGTGGGGTGCACAGTCGCATCAGCATGGGTACCCTCATAGACGACGAGGTACAAAGTTGAAGTCCGTTTTCGAAGTTCGTCAAGGAAAGCTTGTGTCAATGGGTCGCCGATAGCCATTTGCCCACACAGGTAGTTGCGTGATTCGCGTTGGACCCACAGCTGACCTTCTTGTCGGAGACCTACATTCGTTGTAAAGTCCCCTTTGCTGGTTGGTATGAATCCCATGTAAACACCAGTTGAGCATTCGCTCATGATGCTAGCGGGATCATACCAATGGTCGTTGTACAGCCTCATCATCAGAAGCTTGCAAATGGTTGTATAGTCTTCAAAGTTGGAGCAAATACTGGCAAGTGTCCAAGGTGTAAGTAAATTGGGAAACCAGCGGTAACTGTGGCATATTAGTGATATTCTTCACAGAAGAATGCCTTCTTACAGGATATCCCAACAAGGTTTGGTCATCTTCAGTCCTTCAGTCGTACTTGGTATAGTGCCCCCGAGGAGCTGGATTGTCTTGATGTCACCGCCAGCCAGAGTCTGAGCGCAAATTGCCACACGGAGATATTGTACAGCGTGTGGACGCCAGGCCTTTTCAAAGTAGTCACAGTACTCTTCGAGTTGACTAGCCGAGCATCCCATTAGGAAATCGTTGATGCACTTTGAGCGCGTGGCATGCTCAAGGGTTGAAGCCTCGCTATCATTCAGAACCATGATGCGAAACCAGGCGCGGATAATGTCTGTACCGTTATCCGGAATAATCTGCTCCTTTTGTTCAGGCGACTTGCTCTGCTTAGGCGAGTCATCCAGATCGGGCACGATGCTATATAGACGACGGACACTGTCTGCACAGAGATCCTGGTAGAAGTGCTTGAGGACAAGGATAGTTCCATCGTCCGGCATACCTTGGAGCGAATCGATTGGTATTCTGGGATCGAGTGGTGATCTGAGAATTGTGATGGTTTCTCCCAGACTGACTCTATCGGGGTGGGGAGTACCAGTGTGTACACCGGGAGTCTCTGGGGTCGGACCACGCTGCAGGTTTTGCACTGTCTTGGGTTTTAGACAAGCCATTGCTGACAAGAACGTTAAAACTTACTCAGCAAGGAGTCTGCCAGCCCTCGTACATCGGCTTCCAGTTTTGCAAGCCATTTAATGTAGTCTTGAATGTCTCCGCCGCGGGGATAAAACCGGTCTCTTATCTGTCGCCTAAGATCTACAGATTGGCGTAGTTTCAGGACCTTTTGTTTTGCAACATCGAGGCTGAGAACCACGATCCTCTCTGCTTCTCTCTGAGTCTTACCCCATCGTGCATTCAAGTCCTTCCACTCCTCGTGATGTCGTTCGCACCATGGATCGCTCGCCCCTGAAGGCAGTGCTACCCGACATGCACGTCCGTCCGTGTCGACTGCTTCACAGGCCGCGCCGAGAGCTGCTGGTGAGTCTGGGATATCACTCAGACGAAGTAAGCGACGCGTATTGCCTCGGAAGGTGGGCCGTTTCTCTTGCGAGCTGCTTATGCGAAGTTGTAAGCTCATGGTGGGGGAATGAGGGTTTGCGACGAAGACTTGCGACCAAGGAGGAGGAGAGACCTGGGGCTAAGATATCATTCCCTCGCTCTCAAATTTTGGGCATCGGCTAGCAAAGCACTTTCCGTACTGTCGGTAGGGGCCATGCGGGGTCCGCGGCGCGCCATGGCTATCAGGCTGTGCTGTTCATTGCGGCACGGTTGACAGCAAAGCTCACAATGACATGGTGCATACTGTATTCAGCCATGCCTTTTTGTCGCCTCGAACAGGGAAAGCTATTGGGAAGCATGGTAAACGGATGTGCCACGCGATCCAGTAAGATTCAACTAACCTGCTTTATCACAGGCATCGCATTGTGTTCGGAAGGCGTGATAAGGGAGGTGGGCAGATGTAGGAAGCGCCCCGCGCGGCAAACAACCAATACCAGCGAGGTAAACTAACACCAGCTGATGTTTAGTAGGATCCAAAGCCCTCCACTCGGCCCAGCGTTTATTGTCCAGTCGTTTTGCAAGGAGGGTGTGGCTCCCTTCCCGCGAAGCGCTTAGGCTGAAGTCCATGCACATGAGCGGTCCTATCGTAAACTCCCTGCTACCGTGCCTCACCCGTACACAGCCTTTGCACTCTGAAAATTCCTCACAAGAGGGTCGGCTCGTGCCATGCAATCCTTCCTAACTCTGAAATTGGCAAGTGTTGATCAAAGCCAGCCGCGCGACTGTTGCGTCAATACCAAAGCATCTTGTTGGACGTCCGTCTCTCCTGCACGGCTCCCTTGGCGAGGTGCTCAGTCTGTCAGGCTGCAGGACGGCATACGCCCGCAAGCGCAAATCCTCCAGTTATCAGTCGAGCTCAGTATAGATGGCCCGTGACAGGCTTGTCGCATGTTGTGGGTGGTGCTCTCGGTTGTGACGAACCTAGCAGATTGGTGGGCCGGGCTAAACCTCATGGCGGCTACAGAGCGCTTATGGGTGTACGAGTGCTGTGAGGAAGGGCACTACGAGCCGTCACGCGCCATCCGGACGGCCCGGAGAATCGACTGGCCCCTTCATTAACCACAATATGATCTCCTGAGTAACTGCTTTTTAGTGTGTTGATGACGATCGATTACCGAGGACAGTTCCTGTTGTCACGCGGTCCAGGTATTGGCAGGATGAGAAGTTGCGCGCCGTTGAATCCAAATGCATGTCATTACCAGCTGCCAGTTTCGCCGCGGCCTAGCATCCTTGGCCCCGATCCTTCACTATTGCCCACGGCAGTCTATTACCGTACAAATTCCCGGTCTGTAAGGAGTCCCTACATACATATGCTTTAGAGGAGGCTGGAGACGGTGGTGGGTGCTGAAATATTTAGAGGCTGACATGGCTCACAATTGCACAATTGTCACGCTCGACTGAGTGGCGGACACTTGATGAGAAGAGGCAGTGAGTTGGACGCCTTGTCAATGGTTCAACGCGCCCCTTGTTTGGCTAATGGCAACACCGGGGTATTGTTGATGGTGACGCGTTGGTCTTACACGAGTGGTTGTTCACTGGTGACAGCGCATCAACAGTGTGGTTGGTGATGTTGGATAAAAATCATTCGAGTTTGTATTGCCGTCAAGGCTGTAGAAGGCCAGGTATGGCAAAGTACTGCGTAAGGGCCATCTCCAATCCGCACGGACGGCATCTACTTGTTACCCCACAATCCGGTATACCAAATCCGGCCTGGTACAACATTCATCCGAGGTCGAGCTGACATGCAGACTACAGCTCGAAAACAGCCATTTTGAAATTCCACGTCTTCAGTAGAGTGCATCTCTCCTAATTTGCAGTATCTACTCCATACTCTGGAATTGAGGAGTCTTTCTAATCGTAGCATTAATAGCATTGGACCTGGTACCCGTACTTCGTTCATACGCCCCCACCTATCTCCACACGCCCGAACAAAAGACTCGCGAATCACTCAAACAATGCCAATATCACCGGCGATCCGCATTGCTCCTTCGCGTGCAGTAAGGGCTCTCAATCTCCTTCGAACCGTACAATACACGCATCCCCCATCATGCCCTTGCCATTCGAACCCCAATTACCATCAATCGCCGTCTACTGTCCAGCAAGCACGCCGACATCTCGCCACACCGCTAGATCATTCGCAACAAAAGGAATATGCATTTGAGATGGCAGCATCTAGCATCCGCTTTGGGCCAGGATGTACAAAGGAAGTCGGTATGGACTTTAAGAACATGGGCAGCAAGCGCGTCATGGTCGTCACGGACCAAACTGTAAGAAAGCTGGATGCGATGAAGCAGGTCGTCGAAGGACTTGAACGCGAAGGAGTAACATATGAAATCTTTGACAAGGTCAGAGTGGAACCAAAGGATCACAGCATAAAGGAGGCCATTGATTTTGCGAAGCCATGGAGGCCGGACGCCTTCCTCGCTGTTGGTGGAGGTAGTGTGATCGACACTGCCAAGCTGATGAATCTCTACACCACCTTTCCCGAAGCAGACTTCTTGGACTTTGTCAACGCACCATTGGGCAAGGGATTACCTATTCCTTCAAAGCTCTTCCCCCTCATCGCAGTCCCTACAACTGCAGGAACTGGTTCTGAGACTACTGGTACCGCAATCTTCGACCTGGTCTCCAAGCGGGCAAAGACTGGCATCGCACATCGCAACCTGAAGCCCACTCTTGGAATAGTAGATCCGATAAACACACGCACCATGCCCTCAGCTGTCCATGCGTCTTCGGGTCTTGATGTCCTCTGTCACTCTCTGGAATCCTGGACCGCGATACCATACTACGAGCGCACTCCCCGACCTACCAACCCCATCAACCGACCCGCATACCAAGGCGCGAATCCCATTTCCGACATATTTTCTCTCAAGGCTCTGAGAGATACTGTCAAATATCTGCCCCGTGCCGTCAAAGACCCCGAAGACCATGAGGCCCAGTCACAAATGCTCTTAGCTGCAACCCTTGCTGGTGTTGGTTTCGGTAATGCAGGTGTTCATCTCTGCCACGGGATGTCATACCCTATTTCAGGTCAGAACCCAGGGTACAAGCACGCTGGCTACGAGGTTGACCACACCATCATTCCGCACGGAGTTAGTGTCGCAGTAACAGCACCGGCAGTATTCAAGTTTACCGCCGCATCGAACCCAGAGCGCCACTTGGCCGCAGCCGAAGCCTTTGGCGTAGACATTTCAAATGTCAAGGCAGAGAGTGCTGGAGAGGTATTGAGTGAAGCATTGGCAGAGTTCTTGATTAAGCTCGGCGACCAACCCCGAGGATTGAAGGCACTTGGTTTTGGTTCAGAGCATTTGGATCAGCTGGTCGAAGGCACAATTCCCCAGGCAAGAGTATTGATGTTGGCGCCAACTCTGGAGACCCAGAATGTGGATGCGGAGAGGGAGCAATTGCGGGGTCTGTTTGAAGAGGCGATGGAATACTAACGCGCTATTACTGTCCATTCAGGCGTGCAATCTTTTTGGCAAAGTACAGTTAGTCATCTCATCCTATACTGGATGAATGACAAAAGCTATTGGGAATGAAAATAGAGTGTGTTGCTTCCTGCACATGAGCGTGTCTGTGATGCGGAACAAAGCGTGTCTTTCTCAGGGGCAATCACACATGTGTTTCAGCCTCACGGCCCCACCCCGCAACCCCTCCTTACTCCAGCTTTTTCCAATCAACGGCCATCACCTTTGTCTCGTATGCATAAGTGTATGTGAAAATTCAGGGAGAATGGCTCTGAGCATTGCCATAGCTGGATGGTTGACCAAAGAAAACTGCTGTCCAAAGTGTTGACAGGACTGACGTTGCGTACTTGGAGATCTTCACATCCACGGAACCACACGAAAACCACCCATGGTCTTCACACCCAAAACGTCACAGTGATGGAGCGATAGAGCCTCACCATTTAGGTTCGTGGTGTGGGGAAGTGGCGGACCGTCTCACGATTTGGTTTCATCTCCTCGTCCGCAATCGTTTTGCGTTTCAATCGCTTCGGCTAAAGATCCCCCTCTGATATAGTCAGGTCAAGACTACTTATGATGCGTCTTGTCTTTCCATATTTTCTTTACTATTTTAATTCTTTCTCAAAATTGTTTGAAGCCTGCAAAAATGAAATCAATCATTGGATTGAGCGCCCTGGGCGGTGCCCTAGCATCCTCTAATGCACATATTGGATTTGTTGCGCAACAGCCTCTCCTACACAATGTTTGCCCTGCAAACTTTATCCTTCACAACGAAGAATGCCGGCCCTCAGCGCAGGTTACCTTGTCCACACCGGCGCCGGCTTTCGAATCAAACACTACACAAATTGCGCCATTCACAAATTCGCTGGAAGACGCGCAAAAATTAGCCTCGCAAACCGAAAACTTCCCCTGGTCCTACTGGCCCGAATGCTTTACTCCAAAAGACGAAGAAGACGCTGACCCAAACCCCTTTTGCGTCTTTACCAACACCACCTTCGCATCCGGACGAGGAATCTCAATCGTCACCACCAAAGCCAACGCCTACTCGATACTAAAAAACCACGCCTTCACCGACCCTGCCTCTCTCATACGCAGCAACAACTATGAAAACCCACCCTTCTACCAACACGAGTTCCCCGGCAAAGGCCGCGGGCTCGTCGCCAACAAAACGCTCAACCGCGGCGACCAAATCCTCGCCTCAACCCCCATCATAATCACCGACGTCGACCTTGACGAGCTCCCCGAGCCCGAACGTCTCGCGCTGCTCTACCGCGCCGTCGATTCCCTGCCGCCCTCCAGTCACACACTCTTCTGGACCCTAATGGGGCGCTCCGCACCAGGCGAGGACGACCCCATCGACGACCGTATGACCACAAACTACTTTGAGCTCACCCTCTCCGGGGAAACCCTCTCCGGTCTCTTCCCAGAAATTGCAATGATGAATCACGACTGCAGACCAAACGCTGCCTACTTCTTCGACGAAGATACAATGACGCACTACGTCCATGCTATCCGGCCCATCTACCCAGGCGAGGAAATCACCATAACGTATATTAACAACGAAGTTACCCGCGTGCGCCGCATGGGGCGGCTACGCACGAATTGGGGCTTTACGTGTGCCTGCTCGGCGTGTAGTGCGCACCCGCTCGTAACCGCCGAGTCGGACGCGCGAATCCTCCAGATCGAAGAGACGCAGAAGCTACTTAATGACTGGACCAACGCATCGACTGCGACACCCGCGCTGGCAGAGTTGCTGGTGAGTTTGGTTGAGCAGGAGCGGTTGCATGCGGGGCTTGCGACGGCGTACCAGCATGCGGCCGAGGTGTATGCGAGTTTTGGACAAAAGTGGGAGACGGTGAGGTATGCGCGGAAGAGTTTGGAGGTTACGCTGCTGGATAAGGGGTGGGTGGATAGAGATGTGGCGGCGACGAGGAGGATGGCGAGGGAGCCCGAGAAGTCGTGGGCTTGGGGGAGGCGGGTAGGGTTGGTGAAGAAGAAGAAGAAGGAAGGGGGGTGTGGGTGTGGGAAAGAGCATTCTGATCATTCATGATGTGCTGAGCGAAGGGGATACAATGAAGGCGGTTATTGGTGCCATGGCCAAAAAAAATTATTCTATTAATAATACCGTTCTTCGTTTCCCTTTATCTAGAAGCGAACTAAATGATTCCTGAAAAAAAAGAAGAAGAAGAATAAAGGATCAGAAATACATATTTTCTATGAACAATTGAAAATAGAAATTGGCCAAAAGAAATGCGTAAAAAAGGGCAAGAGGCATACCAGATACCCAACACTGCTAACTTTACACTATCCGAGCTTCGCGCCGCGGACCTTTGTGTTAAACACGGTATTACACTTCTCGCGCGCCTCCGCTGCCGTAATCCTAAACGACTCGCCCGCACAATTACCGCTCGAGGGCATACCACCAGCATCGCAAAGCGCCTTGCCCGCCTCGGGAACGGAGCCCTGGAGTAGATTCGGCGACTCGATAATAGTAGCAGCCATGCCGCCGACGGCGTGGAAATCGACGTGGCAGTGGAAGAACCACACGCCGGGGTTATCAGCTTTGAAGCGAATAACGGCGTGGCCGTTTGCTGGGACGACGAGGCCGTCACGCTTGGAGGGGACGTCGGGGAAGTTTGTTTCTTGGCCGTTCCATAGGCCGGGGCCTTTGGCGACGACTTGGAAGACGTGGCCGTGGAGGTGCATGGGGTGGGGGCGGCCGTGGGGGTTGTTCATGTGGATCTGGACGATTTCTCCGGATTGGATGATCCAGGGGTTGACGCCAGGGCCGTAGGTTGCTGGGTCCATGCTGCCGGTTGTCAGGGCAGTGTAGAGTGTAGGGACTTTGGGTGCGACCCAAGGGTCAGCGTTAAGAGGTGTCCGCGTTCCGATTCCAGGGAAGTAGGTCTGGTTTGTTGTGAAGTCGATCCGGTTGTTCACCGGTCCCAGGAGCTTCTGGCCATCCAGCGGCTTTATGTAGAAATCATCGAGGATGCGGGCTTCGGCGCGAGCGATGTTGGGTAATTCCCTTTCGATCGCTTCGACCTCTTGCATCACGTCGTAGACGATTCTCCCAATAACGGATATGTCGTCCTTTGGAGGAGGAGCGCCAGGAAGCATGTCTGTGTCCATGGACGCGTGCCAGTTGGACGCGCCTTTTGGATCGTCTTGGCCCTTGACTACTACACCGTAACTCTGGCCAGCACAGATCAAGATTCTATCAGTTTCCTGGGGCTGTACCTGGACACCATCAACCTCAACGACAGAAAGCGTGTAGTTGTCGACATGGAACTGGCCACACGCAACTGCCGCAGTGTTGACGATACGGAGCAGATATTTCTTGCCCTTGGCCAGTTTGAGGTCAAAAGGCTTGTTAGAGTCGTTGAAGAGGAAAGCGTTTGGCGAGTCAAACCTGGCGTCGGCATTATCGGGACTCATGTAGTCATTAATCAACTCGGGCATGGAGCGATGAAACCTGCCATATGTAAGCCATGTCGTTTGTACGGGGTTTGAGGTACTCACCAATCAGACATTGACAAGAAGATCTGCTTATCGATTCCCAACGTCTTCTCCCAGGCCCTGTCGTGTACAATCATTTTCCCTCGGAGACCATCTGGGTATTGACCCTTTTCATGCGCATGGTACCAATGTGTGCCAGCGGGGTTCGCGACGAATGTGTAGGTATATGATTGTCCAGGTTGAATAGGACATTGTGTAATGCCACTAGGCCCATCGGATAGTTGTGTGCCAGTCTGCCAGATGCCATGGAAATGAAGAGATGTAGTTTGATCCGGAAGTCCGTTGTGCACAGTGATGACCAAGGTGTCGCCTACATCACACTCAATAGTGGGAATGGGCCATTTACCATTAATCCCTATGACTTGTCTGGAGAAGCCATCAGGGGCGGCCTGTAGCCTATCAGTATACGTAAAGCAGTGTAGGCCTGGAAGAGACACGACGCCATCTCGCCAATCCTAGGAACTAAAGAGTTACTTACCGTCACATAGCCGACGGTAAAGTCGTAGCTAACAGTCTTAGCAAACGCCACGGTGGCGCACACTAAGAAGTATGCAGCCCGAGGAATATGCATGGTATTTTGGGGAGGATGACGATAGCACGACGCAAGAGAACATTCCAGAGCAGGGCTTTCAGGAGGCAATATAAGTAGCGATGCGGGGGTTCCCGCAAGAAACAACTGACGTCTTTGCCCTTGAACCTGAGACCGCCAGGACGAGTGTTATTCACGCACAACCAATACTTCTAAACCACCTACCCCTGGACGGGGGGCGAAGATCTACTAGACAAAGCGGGTAGCCGTGCCTACGAGGGCCGTCTGTGTGTGCCCGCAATGGCCAGATCGCGTGGTAAGATCGGATCGCATCGCTAGAAGAGATCGGCTGAGATATACTTAGTTGCCCTGTGGGTCCAGAGACGACCTAATACCCATCCCGACTATGATGGAGATATCGAAGATAGATAAACTCCAGTCAAGAGTGTTTTGATGCTGGTAGGTGTGATACAGCTAGACTTGAGAATTGTAGCTGGCTATCTAGGCCGTCTATTGCAGATAGCCCCCTTTCCAATGCGACACGGTCGTGCACCATGTCTGCAAAACAAAAAGCGTAGTCGCAGGATGCATCAGGAGAATGCTGTGTTAGCGCGCCTAGGCTAGGAACAGGTTAGTGCGGCTCGTACAGAAGGGTCGAGCGTAACGTAGATCTCGGTACCGACTCGCTTACTATTACTCGTAGACTTCGGACATGGATGGGAGAGCCGGTATCGTCATGCTTGTCCCTTACAGACCGCCTATGAAGACCAAAGCACTGTACCTTTTCTCGTGAGCCAGTTGAATGAAGTTAGCAGGCGTGCAAAGACGGACGACCTGATGCATGTCGGTAGGTGCTACGCGAGAGCTGCACGTGGCGACGTTTCCGATGCGTACTTGGCTGTGCCTTATATTGCTTATTCTCAAGCTCGGTGACACAGATGGCAGGCCATTCCTTGCAAGTGTGTGCATCCAGAATCCGTTGGTGAGGGTTCACAAATGATCCCTGCATCAGACGTGGCTGGTCGGACAGAGCTGTTGGCAAGTATTTCCCGGCAGTCCTGTGCGTGCAACTATCATGCCGATATCACTGAGGGAGCGCGTGACCGAGTATTGTATCTCGATTTCCGCCGCGGAGTTTCTGTTTTGTAGCTCGAGCGGACTTGAGAGGTCCGACCGATCCGCGGTGTGGTAGTCAGCAGAGAAAACACAGCGTCATTGGAGAGCGACGTGCGGGCCGGTCGATCAACAAAGGCCACGGCGCTTAGCGTAGCAACGGCAATTGAACGGTGCTGGTGCTGGGGCTTCGTTCGGTACTACCACGCTGATCTCCTCAACCAACGGTCAGACGACAGATGAACCTGTTCCTACGCTGTGAACTCTATGGAGCAAAAATAAACAATGTGGTCGGTTGTTCGCATTCTAATTGAGGAAATTGGACAAAGAATTCAGGACACAAGCCCATGATTTCCGAGTAAGCTTGAGGCTGGGGAGATTGTTGGGTAAATGATTGTTGATACAGACTCTCGGATGCAGCGGAGTGGGGCGGAGGATGGAGAAGGCCGAAGCACCGAGCTTGCGCAACACCACAATTACTATGGCGGTCTGCGCCTCAACACATTGAACACAGCTCTCTCCACGTCAATGAATATTAACGGGAGCGCGAGGGAGCCCTGGCTGGATAGAGTGACTCAGTCCCAACAGTTGTGGCCTCGTGGTATGACGCAGGCGTGTGGTAGACGTATGGGAAGTGTAGTACCTGGTGTAAGTAGTAGCGACAATAAGTAAATCTATAGTGTGATCTGCTATCAGGTGACAGTGCAGAAGCTATAAGAATTGACTGTGGGGTCTCTAAGTTACGAGCAACAGTCTACACGTGACGCGTCGGGAAGTTACGACGTGTCTCAATAATGATGGACAGTTGGGTATTTTTGGTGACGTGCGATTGCGAGTTATCTACGTAGTATGTTTTAATCAACAACTATGCGGTGCTTCTATTGCTTGTCCTCCGCGGTGTTGCTTGTTCACTACTCTGACTATCGAAGTTTGGGGATAGTACATGGTGTATGTAATTACAGGGTCTCCGCCTTTGCTTTACCCACTACACTTACACCTACGCTACAAACTATAAAAGATCGCCCTTCAAAGCCTGCCCGGCACATTGCTTGTCATGCTAGAGAGTGCTTCGCCCACAATCTACTACGCGTACATCTGATGCTTATCTGAAATACGCCGTGAGATCGGCTTCCTTGGCGGCCGAAGAACCCGCCAAGCCCCTTTCGGTCGGAGTTGCGAGATGTTCGAAACATCAGGCTACTATTTGCATGTGTTAGTGCTCGGAGATTGATGTCCTTGTCCGCGCGAGCGGATTCGTATTCCTGCACTGCCTCTGAGAAGGGGGAAAGTTGGGCCGAAGGCTTGACTTTGCTGAAGTGTTCATCCATGCATTTGACCGTGGAGAAACAATAGTGTAGGATATAAGGGATCCAGGTGTTCCGCTCTTCAAGTAGTCATCCACACTACAACCAAACCATCAGCCCATAATCAAGCGGTCTTGCCTCTTTCCGAACGATACAAACAACTTCTCTTCCAAACCGAACATATCAACTTTCATCATGGTCGTTCCGCCCCCAGCACCCGATACATGCACACAGGTTGGCCCAGATTGCCCAGTGGAGGGCACCATTCTAGGATACTACCCGGACATTGGTGTCAATGCAGCATATGCGGGGTTCTTTGCCCTTGCCGCTCTTATCAACCTTGGATTGGGACTCCGATACAAGACATGGTCCTATATGGTAAGTGCCTTGCCCTCATTCATTAACACATACGAACATGGCTAACAGTATCAAACTGTAGACTGCCATGGGTCTGGGTTGTATAGGCGAGGCAGTGGGTTACGCAGGCCGAATCATAATGTGGAATAACCCCTTCGACAACACGGGGTTCCAGATGCAAATCTGCTGCCTCATCATCTCGCCCGCCTTCATCTCCGCTGCCATCTACCTAACACTCAAGTATCTCGTCATTAGCTTTGGCGAGTCGTGGTCGCGCCTCCGACCGGCGCGGTATACACACATTTTTATCGCGGGAGATTTCCTGTCGCTGGTGCTGCAGGGCGCGGGTGGTGGCATCGCTGCGACTGCTGACTTTGGCAGCGAAGCACAGGATAATGGCACAAACATCATGATTGCAGGTGTGGTCTGGCAGGTCTTCACACTGACCGTCTTTGGCTTCTTGCTCGTTGAATACGCCATCCGCACGTACAAGCACCGCGAGGAGCTGTCGGACGAAGCTAGGACTCTGCTACAACAGAAGTCATTCCGCCTCTTCCTCTTTGCCATTGCACTGGCCTTTATTACCATTTTTGCTCGATGCGTCTACCGTATCCCCGAGCTTGCTTTTGGGTGGAGGAGCGAGCTGATGCGCGAGGAGGTGGATTTTATCGTGTTGGAAGGAGCCATGATTGTCACTGCAGTGGTGGTTCTGACCGTCTTCCATCCTGGATACTGCTTCCCTGCTCTTGCGAAGGGGGGCGACCAGAGCAAGTCGGTTCGGGGCAAGAGCATTTATGACGACTCGGACGTTGAGATGATGTCTGCTCGCCGCCCGTCGCAGCAGGTGCAGGCTGAGGATTTTTGATTTTTTGTTTCCATGTGACGAGGGGGTTTGTTCCGGAGTTGGATACCAGCGGGTCTAGAATGCTCTTGCATGGCCTGCATACATATGTTGAGGTGTGGCGCACAGAATTTGTTTTGTTCAGAATGGGCATTAAAGGGGAGTTTTAGGAGTGGGGTGTACAAATGCCATGTGACACGATACTGCACATGGAAGAATTGAGATGTTTCTTATGGGGTTTCGAAAATACCATGACGCCGTATGTTTCACTCTTGCTTGCTTTTTTCCCCTTCTCTTTCTCCTTGAGCACTGTGTCCTATCGGCGTGACGGAAAGAATGCTAGGGCAAACGAGGCATCAGCAGAAGCTTCCAGCGGAAGTGTTGGAGGGACATGGTCGGAAGGGTTATTGGCAGGTAAGCCGGGCAGGTGAGGAGATGCGAAGCAGGAACAGCAGGCACGTGACTCGCCTAGAGTGCCCTACTGCCACTACCATACGCTGCAGCGGCTACATGGCGCCGACGTGAGCATGAACAGGCGGGTTTTCTTACCAGATGGATGCCGGCGTGCTTACCTGCTTACAGCCACAGCCTGGGCACTGGGACCACCCGGAGCTAGAGAGCAAGCGGCTGCAGAAAAAAAAGCCATGTCTACAGCCACCCGCCGGGCTGCCACGACGCTGGTGTATGCTGGTGGTGATGAACGGTGGTAAGTGATGGTGGTGTGGCGTGCCATTGCCACAACCCGCCAGCTGCAGTAGATGACGTCAACTGTGGCTGCCTGGTATTTGAACCACGTCGGCCACGCAGCTTGTGCTTGCGGTGTTTGAATTTTTCTCTGCTGTGCTTCTCCTCCTCCTCCTCTTCTTCTTGTTTCCTGGGCCAAGTCTCGTCGAGCAGCAGCGGCATGGCAGCGTATACATCCACACCTGTAGGCACATTGCCTAATCAGCTCCCCGAATACTGACAAGCCTGCGCAGCCGCCAATCAACACTCTCTCTCGCTCGAGACTAGCACGCCGTTGTCTTTTGCAATGATGGCGGCACGACGTCACGCCACGGGCTGCTGGAGCCAATTTGGCCGTGTAGCCGCCGCCAACCCTAGCCATTTGGGTCTGTAGTGATGCGCCGCCAGCCTCAGCCTCAGCCTCAGCCTCAGCCTCGCGCACCGCCACATGCCGCACATCGACTCGTCACCACACGCCCATGGGCGGGCCATGGCGGCCCAACGACCCAGGTTCTCCTGGCACACCAACTGCTCCCGCCATGCACTCCATGCACCATGTCGGCCCTGTTGGTCGCCGCGGCCATGGCAAGCCCTGAAGCCTGGAACCCGTCGCCATGGTGCCTCTCCATCCGCGCGGCCATGGCCACACGTGTGCCGCCGAAGCTAGCCCTCGTGCTGAGGCGTAAAAGTAGAACAGAGCAGAGCAGACGTCGTGGCTCTTTTGCATCTTGACAGGTGTCCCACGCCTGTCGTCCCAAGCCGTCCACGCTTTGGGTATCCAAAATACGCCCTGACAGCACGTGAGCTGATCACTCGTCCCCTCATTGGCTAGGAAACCCTCTCCGCAACATGTTTTTCGTCGGCGATTTGAACCGAGGAATCGCTTCAAGTCGCAAGTCTTATTTGCACAAGAGCACAAGAGGCGGGTTTTTGGGGCCAGCCTGACGATTGTGGGTGTGTATGTGCTCTCCCTGCCCTCGTAACGTGGCGAGAACGACTCCGATGCCACAAACAACCAGAGCCGCCCCGTTGACTTCAGAGAGCTTGCGGCGTTGCCATCAGCACTTCCATTGGCGCGAGCTTGTCGCTCATCGCCGAGAACTCCACAGGCTCCACCACTACCACCACCATCAACCTGGGAGCCTTTGCCAGCTGCCAACTTCAACCACAACCACATCGCCCGCGCCATGGACCTCTCAGATCGATGGCAGAATATTGCTCCTGCCTCAGACGAGCCCGGACAGCGACGCGCCCCGCCAGACCGTCGGAAGCGGAGGCAGGCCGTTGCTGTGGCTTGTGTGCACTGCCGCAACGGGAAGGCCAAGGTACGTAGGACCGTGTTACACCCAGCCAGTGTCATGAGTCTTCGGTGACCTGGAGGTACTTTGCCTTGACTTTCACCGGCAGCTGATGCCTGCCACCAATGCAAAGTACTAAAGGCCCTCCTGTCAGCCACATGTGCCACTGTAGTTCCTTCACTACTCTTCTATGGGTAATCACTGGCTGTGATACTACCTGTAGGTGGCCGACTGCTGCCTTTGACCCTCTCCCGAAGGCTGCTAATTCAGTAATCTGCAGTGCGACGGCACGAGGCCACGATGTAACCGCTGCAAGGATAACGATCTCATATGCCAATACGATGTCGCCGAGGGCGTCTCCAGAGCTGAGCGCATGAAGATCATGAAGAGGGACAGCATGACCGGCGAGCTCGAAGATCTCAAACGCATCATCAACTTCCTCCGCTCAGGCACAGACGACCAAGCCACGGCCATTTTAGCAAGACTTCGACTTGGTGACACCCCCGAAGATGTTGCAAAGTCCCTCTCCTTGGTACCCTCTCCAGCAGCATCCACCCAACCCCCCAGGTACGCATCACTATATTACAGCTTCCTCTATAGCTGCAAAAAGCACAATGGTAACCGGAGTTCAGCTTACTGGGCCAGGAGTCCACCGATACCTCTGGAAGTGCAATGAGCCATGACTCCGTTTTCGATCCAAGCAAACCTACTCCCAAGTTTGGCCAAGGTTCCAGCACATCTTTGGCATCGCCTCCAGGTCAAACTACTGCTTGGTCACCTTCTGCAAATCTTCCACATTCTGCATTTGCGCCCCCGGGGAGAGGAAAGCAGTCGAGTATCAGCGAAGAGCAGTTCTTTTTGTGCCCTTTGTTTGACCGAGACGACTTTCTGCTACCCAAGGCCGAAGATGAGGGCGAAAGTGATGACGCTGGCGATGATGAAATTGAGGAGAGAAACATTGACCCACGACTCACTCAGCAGGCTTCAACTTTTGACCTACGTCCCATCCCCTCGTCCTCGTCAAAAAGGTCTTCCCAAAGCCAAAGACTGTCTCCGCACAGACACAACAGAGTTCGCTCAATCTATTCCACTCACCTCGTTGGCCGACAACCGATTGTGAACACTATCCGCATTCACCCCAATCTCGATATTCGCAGCTTCTTCGACAACACACCTTTTCCCACTAGCGCCGAGTCGAGCCAGTACTCGAAATCTCAGGACACGCATACTCGCAATCTTTTCCTGCCAACATGGGCTATGCTTCCAATCAATACAGTCCCTGATCCTGGTTCGCTCAAGCGTACCGTACCGAGTGTACTGCACGAGGCAACAAACTTGATAGACAACGGACATCCGGTCGAAGAAGTTATTGAGAAGCACCCGAATATTGCTGCTCTGTTTGACGAAGAAGTATACAAAAAATCGGGCATTCTTTCCAAATGGGCAGTTGGTATGGTGCATGGAATGTTTCTGAAAGGTAACTATTCACACCCTTTTGCAAACTCTCGAAATCCTTTTTGCTCACTAGAATAGGCAACACATTTACATGCTTCGGGTTCATGTACCTTTTTTGGTCATTGATGCGCTGGATGATTTCCCCTTCCCCCGAGACGTACAATGCCATGCCGGAATGGCTCCGTCCGACCCCGAATCAGCTTTTTATGCCACACATCAACATCGTCGATTTTGTCGTCTGGCCTGCCTTTCGCGAACTCGCTGTTCAAATGCCTGCAATGCAGGAACGCATGGAGTGGCTCATGGATATGAGCCTCAACATTCAGTGTGATTGGTCCTTTGCCACCCCAGAGGCACTGCATAAAAATGAAGAGACTGGCCGAGTGGACTTGTGCGACACAGCAAGAGATGTTATCCGGAATCTGACAAACTGGAGCGTTGGGCCGAGTTTCAGGGGATACATTAGCAACGCAGATTCCTATGTACGAATCAGGACTGAGGGATATTGAACCAGGCAATCTGTTCAAGTAGTCTCGAAGACGCCAAAGTACATAGGATATGTTTTCATATGGCGCGGTATACAGGGAAAAATTCAAAATTTAGAAACCAGAAAAGCATTCAAGATATATCAAGGGCTCAACGGCCATGTAGGGACAATGCATAGAAAGAAGGAAAAGACGGGAAAAAAGGAGGAAAATACCAAATAGCCAGAAACAAGGATCAAATACGAGAACACTGCATGTAGAAAATCGGGCCGAAGCATAGCGCACTACATATATACGGCGGAAATTCTGCAAGACGACATGCATGCGAAGACATGTTACGTCGAACGATGTAGCGAAAATCGTCTGCCAAAAATAACAAACTATACTCTCCTCTCTCGATTTTTGGGGTAAAAGTCATATCTTGCTTATTTCTGTGAAACCTACAATCTCTCTTGCCCCATCGAACGAATAAGCGAAAAACAAAAGGAAGGGTATATCATATGAGAAAATAACAAAGGCTGATTTATTCCTAGTCCAAGAATTTACCCCCATGACTACATATACCGTTGCTGCTAGTCTCGCTCGTTGTCCGGCAGATGGCAAACAGCAAATATTACCCATTGTCCACATAGCGTAATAGCACCGAACCAAGTAGACAAGACTGCGGGATCAAAGCATTATTTTCCATCTTCCCTTTCCCCAGAGTTCGAAAACAAGTCACAACCATGATACCGCACGCAACCAGCCTTTCAACCCAACACCCTCAACCAACCCAATCCACAACCCCCGTCCTATGATACTCCTCCCTCTTCTCCGCATCCACCAACACATCCCTTGCAGCATTGAGTCGCTGCATTGCCGCATTCGCTTTCACCCTTTCTTCCTCTGACGACGCCTTGTCGGGGTGCAGTGTACGCGCCATTCGGCGGTAGGATTTTTTGATTGTGGAGGGGGTGGCGCGCCAGGAGGTGAGGCCGAGGAGGGTGTAGAGGAGGGTGTTGGGTGGTGGGGGGAGGCGGGATGGATGGGAGACGGTAGGTGGTGTTGTGGGAGGAGTAGCGGGTACGGTGAATGGAGCGTAGTTTTCGAGGTTCTCCCAGTAGGGGTCCAAAGGGGAGAGCGAGAAGGGGGTTGAAGGGTGGCGGGGGGATGGTGCGGGCGTGGAGTTTGTGGAGTAGATTCGCTCGCTCAGGGGAGTACGCGGTGTACTTGTTCTTGATCTCTTGGGGGTGGATATGGCTGACGAGACGTCGCTTGTTGTATCATCGTCGGTGAAGATGGTGAAGTTGGGTTTACGCTTTTTGCTATGGGACTTTTTGACAACATGGGCCGCGGGGACAGGGAGGCGGATCTTCAGCGATGGTCGGGGGGCGCGGGTTTGCGAACGAGTTTTTGGGCGAACATAAGGCGCGGTGTCATTTGGGGTACTGAGTTCCCCTTCTTCGATGGCTGGGAGTGGTGTCGCTGCCACAAGGGCTAGGAGGTCGTCAATAATGCGCGCCATTATGAATTAATACACTGTAGAGCTAAGTATAAATCCCAACTCACCCAATTGGTATGGAGAAGAGGAACAGAATAAAACAAAATCAAGGCGCCAATAAAACAAGGATATACTAACCAGAAGGCATATAGATCAGACGACCGACAAGACTTGTACGCTTTCAAACAGCAGATCCAACAACGAGGGAGATGGTCAAAGGGAAAGAGTATCCTCCCCTCTCTATATAAAACCAAGCAAGACTAAAAACTACGCGGGTGAAGTCGACGTCGCGTTTGCAATCCCAGCCCAAGCGCAGCCAAACTCGAGGTGACGGTCACTCTTTGTATTATTTCCAGGTACGTCAGACGCCACAAAAGATCCAAGCTTTTCTCCCGTAAGTGAAGCTGAGCTGAGCCCGAACAAAGACAACCAACGCGGTGGGGAGGCTATGAATACCAAAAACGCGACAACGCGTTGTAGCGCGCAATTTACTTTGCTCGCGTAGATTTGCGCTTGGCGCATAGTGGAAGGGGTTTATGACGTGTTGTTTTGGGGGGTATGCTGGGTTATGGGGTAGGTGGAGGGATGAAGGTGGTGTGAGCCTGGTGGTGGTGGGGGACACGCGATTGCGCTTTACTTGCTCAAAAGCGCGATAGTGATGATTGAGATTCTGTGAAATGGGTCGAACGTTGAGGTGGGTTTGCATGAGTGAAATGGTGGACTTGGTTTCGCGTTGAGGTAGCATGACGCGCGGTGGTGCTTGAGTGAGTGAACTCAATGTACATACACGCCCAGCCGCGCACTCAGGCGCGCCTGCATCCGTGGATGAACTAAATACTGAGTGAGGGTTGAGAGAATCCGGTCTGGTTGCAGATAGGTGAGGATTCTGAGGTTGGTGTGTTCAGTGGTAAATCATGGAAGATGGGAGGGAAGGAAGCCATATCATGTGACCCGCACGCACCCAGTGGATAAAATCCCCAGAATTCCAAAAATAACCAGCATCTTATCGCTACAATCACCACTTAAGCATGAGTTTAGAGTATATGAGCCCTAAGAGATGCGGAGAAGATAGTTTCCCTGAAAAAATTATTATAATGACATCATGGTAGTGTTATGAAGCTCTACAGTTACCAACTTTCTGGCGCGTTGTCGATTTTAACAATAGGATGGTGGCCTGTCACGCTATTAATCCGTTGGTAACCCGGTTATTTATGCCAGACCGGACGGAATGTCCAAGTATCTCTAAAATTGATTACCACAAAGCCTATTGATCTTATGTCACGACTCTCTCCTGTTAGGTTTCTGTTTTAGATGGCATTATGATGCGAGGGGGTCGAACGCTTAGTGAACATGAAGCTGCACTCGATCAAGTGGCTTCTAGTTACTTTTGTTGAAAATGTTGCATTCGACCTAGTAATGAGCGATGTTACGAGCGTCGAACCCTTCCACGGCCGCCGAAGTGAGAGGATACTAAGCGGCCTACCTCGTGGCGTCGTTGTACCGGCTTACCCTTCCCATACCTACTATTACCAGCCAAGATAACATTCTTTATCACATCTGATGATTCATGGTCGTCGAATATGACTCCTCCATAGCTCACCAAGAGAACTTTGACCACTGTCCTAGAGCCGTCTTTATGCAAGCGGTTTTGAGTGGTTGATAGCGCCTTCATCAACTCGATATGCCCCCGGAATCCTTGTTGTCTGGTATCAAGCAAGTGTACATCGACAAGGATACAGACCTCAGGTAATCGAGATATTGATATGCTAGAGCATAAGAGATCAATGTAATCTGTGAGGGTTGAAGCATCTTGAAATTTTCCGTGAATTTGAGCTGCCTGCTTTTCTGATATTCCTGAGGTCTTTTCCTGGTTCAAGTATACGGTCAATGCTTGCACTATCAGGTAACTTAATACACATTCCGGAGAGAACCCATTCGCGCGTTCACAGGCGTTCGGTTTCAACGCCCATAGGAGCGGGACCCTCGCATCCTCCATGAGCTTGATGAAATCTAAGCAGAAATTCTTGATCTGCGACCGGTTTTGATAAGAGCCTTTAACAAAACGCAGAGTGTTCTCAGATTTGGAGCACCACGTTTGGAACTTCGGTTGAAGCCAGAAGGGATTTGCTTTCGTCACTGCTTGCTCTCGATGTCCCCACTTTAAGTCTTGCCATGACTTCGGCACGGCCAGCATCATACGAGATTCCAATGATTTTAGGAATTCATTCGCCTGGGTTCGGGATAAGGACATGTTCGAATCCACACAATCGCTGTTTTGAATATTTCGGCTATCTTAGGCATAAATTAGTCCATTTTCCCGCACTTATCTATACGTCTCGGAACATACTCAAGGCCAATTTCAGTAAATTGTTGAGAGAACCATCATTTTTGAATGCTTCTAAGCCTTAAAACTTAGTATTAGTGATGTGCACAAGCTGACGATTGCTTTTTGGCTGCACAGGCGGTGTGAGGTAACATGAAAGGTTGCAACATGAGGAAGTTGTTCGAACCAAGGTTGCTGTACCGCTCTTAGAACGAAGTTTCGGTAAAATATGAACTCACCGATAAACACATTCATGCTGCTGCTTGCTCCACTGAAGTTATATTGTTCAGCTTGGCCGACAGCGTTAAACTGAGCAGCATTTCCATTGACAGCGAACTGATCGCCAACGCCATGATGGGATGCTGCATCATGGCCGACATCAGGATATTCTCTAGCTTTTGTTGTTGTATTGTATTGCACTGACATAGTCGTCAAAACTCGAACTTGCAGCTGGTAGGCCAGTGGAACAAGCCTCATATACCACATGAGTTGTACCCTATGCCGATGCAGGCTAAGACATTTTGCCTTGCTGTTTAATGGACCAGTTTGGCGGCACGCTCTAACCGATGCGCAGGAATGGGGTTCTTCATTACATGATGTACTGGATCTCGCCTACCGCTCTTGGCCAATTATGGGACGATTTTCGGCTCACAGGCTGCAGGTGTCAATGCGGGGTTTCAGCCTCCTGCACGCTGATCGAATCAACGTTGCTCCTGTAATCAGTATCCTTGCATCTGTGTGCATCTGCGTGCATCCAAGACTCGATTTTGGCCCCCAGTGAGATTTGCTTTAGGCATTGCTGTTCGCTTCATATTGAAATATGGTAAGATACACGCCGGTAAAGCGATCCAATATCCAATCAATCTCATAGGTTTACGTACAAGTAAACACTAAAATGGCTACCTGAGTATCATACTTTGAACACTTTCTGGGAGACTCTGAGCTAGGACACTTCATCTCTACCTAAGGTGGTGCATCGGATCTTACGTGTACAACTGTGGGAGAAGTGAGGCGGCTCATGCAAGAGCGGACTGGAAAGCAACTCATCTTGAGTGATTCCGCAGACAACTGGATTCTCCCGAACAAGACTATATTTGACGATCACACCCAGGGAAGTGACTTCCAGGACCAACAACTCTCTGCTCTCGAGCCAAGTACGAGAGTGGCTCCTCTCAAGGTAAGTCCAAAAGACAGGCATTTTCTGTATACTAATAGTGTTAAAGTCCAAAAAAAAGCGGCGCTTCTACAACACCGTTATAGATTACCCGAAGGGCAGCGATTCTCAACAAGATTTTGGCTTTGTTACCAAAACGTATGCTTCCGATGCCCGTCGGAGAAGTCGGGAAAGACCGTACAAATACTTCGCACAACCCATTGTAAAAGACCACCAACTTCGGTATCGTCGTGAAAGACCTATTCATGCCGAGAATCCAGAGTGGGATCCAGAGTGGAGTATGGAATCAACCCAATATCATGATACCCGGAGCCTTCACCGTCGGGAACTAAAAAGACATCAAGAAATAATTCAAATCGCGCGACACGAAAACAAAGCACAATTATTGTCTAACCGCTCGAACGGCGTTATGTCGGCCTCTTCACAGAAGGAGTCCGATTTGAAGGTCGAGATGGCCTCCAATGCATCGGATGATTCAGAACCCCGGGTAACTGACGTTGACACAACACCCGAATCACAAGCCTGTGATGCTTCTTGGACCGCGGAGGCTTTGATGCGGCGAGTAGAAGAACTCAGCGCCCAGGTCAGTCGAATGAAACGGCGAGCGAAAGACAGAGGAAAAGATGAGCATAGCCAAAACCCTCGTGCCAAAATTATACCCAGGTGGCAGACTCTTTATCGCATCAACAATGGGATCCATCTTCGAGAACCGTCCTGGATAGACGCCCAATATGGGTATTTCGAACTCAAAGGTGACACGCCAATCTCAAACTTGAACGCCTATCTCAAGCGCCACGACGATATTGTCTTCGTCCCTTTCAAGGATTATGACAACGGTACAAAACTTTCGGCGGCTACTGAATTGGCCGAAGACGATTTTTTACCACAGCCACAACCTTCAACAGAAGCGGTGATACTGACCTCGGCGCAAATGGTTTCTGTTATGAAAAAATTCTTGAATGCCATTTCGGGTTTCAAGGAGTCGTTTCCTGATTTTGATCCAACTAAAGAAATCCATGAGCCATATCTATTCTGGTTTTTCTATCGAACTAATATGGAAGAGGCACTGAGATCACTGTCTGCAGAGGAAAGAACGATGATCAAGCTCTTCCGGGACTGGATCGAAGGCTCATACGGGGAAGAGTGGGACTATATTGATTCCGAGTTTGAGAAGGGTATGGTATGTCCAATATCAGTGAAATATCTGATTCGTCCTGGTGATGTACTGGTGTCGCGCAAAGACGAAAATATCGACGCATATATCATAAAAACTTGGCCAAAATTTCTCGAACCAAGGTCACCCCAAGACAAAAATATTGACGCACGTATAGCAGGACATTGGCCAAACTCTTTCAAGCCAAATTCACGAAAAGACGGAAATATTGATGTATATACGTCAAAAGTTCGACCTCTCCCTCTCGAATCGAAGACACACAAAGACAGGTTACAAGGTCGGGCAAAACTTCCAGCTTCTGGGATCCAACCGAATAACCAAGATACCACAAAATCGGAGGTTCTTGGACAAAATGTTGCTAGAGAAGATTATCTGTGGAATATAGAAGCATGGTCTTGGTCATTTGATGGTGAATTCAGAAGGGCAACAGCGGTTCTCGATCTCAAAATCACTGCTCCGACGGACAGATCTAGAGTTCCCATCACCTCTTTGGAGGTTTTCCCCCTAAAATACGACGAAACAGGTTTAGAAGCTCGACTCAAGAAAAGGGGCGAGATATTTTGGAAATGTCGAAAAAGATATTTAGTTTCGTGTGTTGATAGTTATGAAGAGGATATGAGTGTGGTAAGTTTCACTTTTTGGTGCGTGGACATTTATTCATTGAGACACAGGATGGTGACAGATACATGGTCGATGTGGCTACTTACTCTCAATATAGACGGAAAAAGTACGAGAAAAGTCAATTTGAGGGTCTACAGAACCCCGAAAACGATTCAAAAGACATGGCTTTGACATCGAGTTTTCGCGCTACAAAACGGGGTGATATGCTCGAGTCGACACTGAAACTAGACAAATTTCCAGATACCTCGGAGCTTCTCGTGTTTCCGAGATCGGTCGTGTCGTATGATCTCAGGCGTAAGCGTTGGAGTGAGTTGGTCTTTTCCCGATATTTAGTAGATCCGGAAGCTAATACCGAGTTAAAGTTGATCTCCAAGTGGACCACATTCGAGACGTAACTTGGAATACACAAGCTTTTGAAAGTTTAGCAATTGACGATGATGCCAAAGAGCTGCTTGAAGCTGTAGTCACGAACCAAATCGTATCATCCAAAGGCACGGATATCATCGCCGACAAAGGCAATGGTCTTATCATCTTGTTACACGGCGGTCCAGGCACAGGAAAGACCTTTACTGCAGAGAGTGTGGCAGACTTTGCAAAGAAGCCTCTTTACCGTGTTACATGCGGTGATATTGGAACAAACCCAGAGCAAGTCGAGACTTACCTTGAGTCCGTACTTCATCTGGGTCTTATATGGGACTGCGTGGTCCTGTTGGATGAAGCAGATGTTTTCTTAGAAGAGCGAGGACAATACGACCTAGCACGGAATGCCTTGGTATCGGTGTTCCTACGCGTTCTTGAGTACTATCAGGGCATTCTGGTACTCACCCCCAACCGAGTGGGCACTTTTGACGAAGCTTTCAAATCACGAATCCAGTTGACTCTGCATTATGACAAGCTCAGCATTGCGCAGCGTCGCAAAATATGGCGGAATTTCATCCAGCGGCTCAAGAATTTGGGTGTTAACAATGTCGATTTTGATGACATAAACGATCATATCGATGACTTGGTCACGCGAGAGATGAATGGGCGACAGATTCGCAATGTCATTACGACTGCACGTCAGTTGGCACAATATCGCGGCAAGAACCTCTGCTTTTCGCACTTGGAACACGTCATGAAGATTGCTGACAAGTTCGATACATACATAAAGAATGTCAAAGAGGGGTTAACGGAAGACCAGCTTGCAAGAGATGCAGGCTTGCGGTGACCGACATTGGACCATTTCTTCAGTCTCTATGCAATGAAAATCATGCCAACTATAAGTTTACTCCTTTCCAAAATTCATGGTCTCGGCTCTGTATTGTCTCGCGTTGTCTTTGGCGTTGAATTGTTCTGCTTCTCCGTCTGCTGAATAAATATCGCCTTGGCCCATATGAACGTTGCGGCTCGCAGCTGACGCCCCCTCAATTAACTCATCTGGAACTGATGGCTCCACTGCCAAAACCGCTTCTAGTGCTTTGGCAAGTTTGATGGTTTGCTCTCGCGTGGCAGCCCTCATTGTCTGACCGTTTGCAATGTCCTGCACAGCCCCTAACAGATCTTTCATCAACACTTCAACTTTGTGCTCTTTCCCCAAGGTTCGAAGTGCAGCAACATATCGCGCGTATCTTGATGCACCTTCCAACGGAATACATTTTTCAAAGATCACCTTCAATTGCTCCGCTTTGGTCTTGGCTCGTTCACTAGTGCTCTTTATTGCTTCATATGTAGCCTTATCGAGCGGGTCTTTTTCAAGTTGCGCCTCTATGATATTCAAGGTATCTTGAATGAGAGGGAGACGCTGGGCGACTTCGCGAAAGGCGGCGGGCAAATCTTCTGAATTTTCGGCTGCATCATAGACCTTTTTGGCGGCTTCAATAAATGTGACGCCGGCTGAGATGATGCCGATTATGGCGGATGCTTCGCCCACACCGGTCATTGCATTGAGCGGGAAATGGGATAGTTGGACTTCCGGGAATGACAAGCCCTCAATTCCTTTCCGTTGATGCGTTCTAAATATGTCTATTAGTCTTGTTGATTATAAAATTCTTATCATGTTTCATGTAATTGGCGCACCACTTACTTAGCTATGTCTTCAATTCTGCAAAGGACTGACACGAGTTTCTGTCAAGATACGCCCTAACTGGATGGGCCACATACTTATACCAGCTCCATTCTAATCAAGCCTTGGACTCGCTAAAGCACAGAAAAACTATAGCCCACCTCTTCCCTCGGCTGCATGCGCTGTTTCAGCCCCTAAAACCATGCACACTGTTGTTGATGTAGCTGCAGTCGAGGGCTGCGCCCCATTTGCCCCGCTACGTATATGCAGCTGTCACTGGCTCGCAAAGATCATCCCTGCTTGCGACCTCAAACCGGTAAGAATTGAGGCATTGCCTCTTTTGCCTTACGAAATGCGCGTGCGACAATGCATATTGGGTGACCTAGGTCCTCATATAATGTCTATCATTCAACTCGCGCAAAAGGAACTAGACAGCTATAGGGTAAAGGAGCGCGGAGGCTTAGCAACATTAACTTATCTCATCCAATTCGCTGCTATACAGATCTTAAGCCTATTTACAACTACTAAGGGACTTTATTTAAGTTAGATGTAGCAAATATAATACATATAAGGGAGACGACTCGAGGTGCAGTGAAAAACCACAAGGAACGATATGTAATGGAGTGTATTGAATACAGGGCTTTTCTCTAAAGTAGCGAGACACAGTATATCTTGGTTTAGAATTGGTGCAGTAGTCAATTAAGCGGATATTAAAAAGCTTCTTCACTGCTAAGGCTTAAAATCTCCTTTCTACAAATTAGAGTATCAAGAGAAGCATACCACAAAACTTCCACCATCTTCAAAATTCAGAAGTCGCTTTTTTATTTTGAGGGGGAAATTTTAGCACTTTTGACTTTCCAGATTCCTTGATGTCGTAGTAAAAAATATGTTGGTATTCCAAAGAAGCCCCACTGCGCTCTCTCCGCCCAACGAGCTATGTCAGGCAATATCAGGTAGCAAGGTAGCATCCGATAGACAGATAAGCTTCTAGCCTATGTAGTTATCTATGCATCTCAGATTGTAGGAATGGTAAGGCATGTAAGACGATTGGTGACTAGGACACACAAGAGATAAACACCGAGATCGTAGACGAAGATCAGGAAGCAGAGGCCCTAGCCCGTTAAAACTAGACCGTGGCAGTTTTTAACCGAGAGTTTTTACTGTAGCTAGTGAGGATAGATCGTGATCCACATACGCTGTCTTCTCAAAACCTGTGCTACCCAAATCAGTACGTTGGTGTATACGGATAGAATGTCTTCTGGGTGTACTCGAGACGGCGACGTGCTTTTGGATATGCCAACGTGGCAGAGCTCTCAATTCTGGACTCTTCTACTGAACTGTAGCCCTATTTCTGCATTTAAATTCTTTTATCATGCACGATCAATCAGCTGATTCAAAATTATATTAGAAAGAATCGTATCAACGTCACGGCAGACATATTGGACACAACGAAGTCATTGCCGCCACTGTCACTTCTAAAATTATGATGTACTTGAATCAATTGACCATATAGACTTTTGGTCATGTGAATGCGTGACTGCCGTATTCGTTCCTCGCAAATACATATGAGAGAAGGAGCGGTTTGCTGTTGTGGAGACGAAACGATGTCATCGGCCCGAGCTCCCAACAACAGTCGTCTATGAGCTGCTTCGCCGTACCACGTCTGCCATGACATCTACTTGTACACTACCTGACGCGGCGGTGAACCCGCTTGGACAGTAGCTTGATTCTTGTTCACTAACAAACGACACTACGCAAGGGTGCAGGCCGCAAAGCGACAAGGAAGCGCCGGAATGGATGCGGGGAAAAGCGATGCTGAGCCGAGGAGACTAAATACATAAGTACGCGTCTACAAATCACACAAGCAAACCTCTCACGATAGTTGCAACACTCCATCTGAATAACGCGCCACTCGACATGTCTGCTGAAGAGAAAGGCACAAGCCACGCCAAGCTGGGACCTGCACCAACACGCCTCCGGCAGATTGCACTAGCTGCAAAGGATCTCGACAACACCAGGCAGCTGCTTGTACGACAACGACAGTAAAAGTACCCGTTGGAAGCTGATGGTGATTTCAGACATATGTCCTGGGCATAGGCTTTGCATTCGAGGATGATGCCGTGGAGCAGTGGGGATTGAAGAATTTCATGGGCACGTAGCCCCTGCGCGTTTCCCGAGGCTCGTAATTGACGCGACTGCAGTTCCGCTAGGCGGCGACTTTATCGAGGTTGTCTCGCCGGTCAAGGAGCGTACGACGGTTGGCAGGCTGCTCGACAAGCGCGGGGATGGAGGGTTCATGATTGTCATGCAGACCGGGGATGCAAAGAAGCGGCGCGAGTACATCACTGCGAACAAGTTGGCTAGCGTCATTGTCGAGCACGAGTACAGAGATGCGGTATGCATCCAGTATCATCCAAAGGGGATCAAAGGTACGTTCGTCCCATGGCCAGTTCGGCTATATGCGCGGGCGCAGGCGCAGTCAGCGAGGAGGCGCAGGCGTCGTGGTGGTGGCTGATGAGGGGTTACAACTAGGCGGCTTGATGCCTGAACTCGACTCGCACACACCTGGGCCAGCGAATCCAAACCCCATAGGAACCCGCTTCTCCCCATGGCATGCCTGTGGACCAGCCAGTGAGAGTTACATGCGCGGCATGGAACAGACGGGCCACTTGGCACTAGAGGGCTGTGTACTGCGGCTCGAGCCTGGTGACGTCGACCGTGAGGGCGCGGCGCAACAGTGGGAAGAAATATTTGGCGTGTCACGAAGTGGCGACACGGTGGCTTTTACCAACGCCCGCCTGGCTTTCATCTCGGGCCAGGACGGGCTTCCAGAAGGACTCGTATCCATCACCGTGGGCGTCAAGGGCAAGGATAACCATAACGCGATACTCGAAAGAGCTCAGACGGCAGGCATCTGGAGCGAGGGCTGCGCTGAAATGTGCGGAATCAAGTGGTACTTCACCCTAACAGGCCATAGCGACGACCGGGGGAAGCTGTAACCGCCCGTAACTGTGCATTTGATGCATCGGCTACATGCAACCTTCTGGATAGAGTACACTACCACGTAGTACCGCCCACGCACCTCGTCCTCTCTCTGCCAAACAACCATGGCTATCTCTCCCAGCGCGGATGCAGCCGAAGTGCCCCGCCAACCCATGCTTCCCCGATATCACAATTCAGTGCTGTGTCCCACCAAGTCTCTGACCCCCCCTCTTTTCCTTCCTCTTCCAATCTCGACTCCTCTCCCTCTCTCGCTTATCTATCCAACAGGCCGGCTCTGACTGCATGCGCTCTAACGCCCAAGCGAGTCTAACGCCCGCGGATCAGTATGACACCATTCAATTTTTTTGTACACACCGTAGTCATTATCCGTTACAACTGAAAGTTTCAGTACTTGGTCCTCCGCCCTCGGCCTGGCTTGGCCAGCTTGATGGCGCTGCTGCTTCCGGTCACGTCAAGCCGCCTGGTTTACGACAGTCGGAAGGATCCAGCATATGGGCCCGGTGCCTACCACCTGCTTTCTGGCACTGCTCTCGATGTTGTGTTTCAACATACCAGATCAGCCGGAGCCAAAGACACAGTCGTGCCTGGCATACTGCCTTGAGGGCCGCCTTGCATGCATAGCGTCGTTTACGCATCAACACCACGCCATTTCAACAAGGTCTAGTGCCCCGCACACTTATCAGCACACCTAGTTGCAGGCCTCTCCCGCCCATGGCCGGAGCAGCTGCTTCGACACTGGAGGGAGCAGGGCCACGTCGTTTCCAGACTCCTCCCGCCTCCCCCCCCTTACCCACCCATCTCCCCTCCCCCGCTGTCGGCGCTGCGTTCCGCGTAGATCTCCCCCGGCGCCGCTTGCAGGATCCAATTTCCGTGATCCATCGTGGTTGTTGATTCTCCATGTTTACCGCACGCACACTTGCACAGTTGCCGGCCTCTATGTCGTCACGTCCACTTTTCCACCTGCACACCTTTGCGTGCCCTGGCGTGCCCCTGCGTCACACGCTTCTAGCATTTATACTCTACTAGCCTACGCCCTCTATTTTCGCCGTGCCCTGGCTGGTTTTTCTTACCCGCTATTCCACGCTCATGAAGATGCTTAAAAGATAGGGACCCCCCCTCATCTGCTTGGTGTCCAACTCCCTCCTCATCGCCTAGACTTCCTCCATATCATCAATACCAATAGACATCATTGCTATTCTACACCATGTCCAGGCACGCACGCACCATATACGATCAGCGATACGATAGTGCAACTGTCCTCCCGCTTCCCCCAGAAGAGGGCGCGCTCTATCCATCGGCCGTTCATGATTCCCATGTCTATGGAGAGCCTATAAGTCCTACCACCGGATATCTGGCATCGGAATCATCCTACGTCACTGAGGTAAGTTAAGATAACAGCTTGATTAGCATCACACTCACCAAAGCTAGGTCGATGAGTACACGCCTTCATACTTCCACTGCATCCCGACGTCCACCCACGAACATGCCCACCAGCACTACCACGCCGATATAGTAGGCCCACCGACTCGCCCATCTTTCCCCCCTCCAGTAAACTCATCTTCGACTCCTTCTCCAAGCTCTGTTCCGCCCATCATATCCATATCCACCGTCATTGATGGGAATACTTTGGGTTGCAGTCAATGCGGCGTTGAGTTTACAGGACGGTACAGGCGTGGAAACCTTGCACGCCATGCAAGACACAAACACTCCAAAGCAGCCAGAGTTCCGCTCACATGTTCAGCTCATGGATGCTCCAGAACCTTTGCGCGCCAAGATGCTCGTGTCAAACATGAACGTAAGCATCATCCTGAGTTGCACTGCAACCCTAGTGGTAATGGCTCATGCCGCCGGACTGTGTCTCGTCTGGACAAGAAGGGGGATGTGTTTTCGACACCGTTACCGCAATTCACACAGCTTATCGATATAGATGAGGTACCTCGTTCCACCCGAGATGCCTTGTGCCGGATATATACACAACTGGACCATGAAACGTACGCCCGGCTTCGCGATATGTTCCTGACCTTATTGACGAGAATGGTTCAGTACCTCAGGCATGTAAAGTATGTGATCTAATAACATGCGCGCTGTTTGTATACTAACAGTCTCCAGGTCTGATGCATATCATGTGTACATGAGAGTTCTGGAAGAAATCAACGTTATTGTTCGCGCTATCGAGTCTGGCTTGATCGATCCGACTGACCAAGGAATGACCAACGCTGTGCCATACTGTCACCCTTCTGGATCTACCGGAACTACTGGTCGTTCCAGGGGTGAAGGTTCTGCATCAAATGCTCGGGGTACTGACATGTCCAAGCCAAACCCACACTACCGGGATAAAGGAAAGATGACACCTAGTCGTCGAGAGCAAAATACTTTCAAGGTTGCCAAAAGCAACCGGACCAAAGATCCACTGTCTAGAAAGGTTGACTGTCCCGATCACAAGCACCATGCTATGTATCCCAACCTCGGGCCATCACCTTGCCGTGGATGCGGTGAGACTGTCATGGCTCAAGTTCGGCACCATCTCAACCGAGTAACTCATCGCGGCCGCCCAGGGGCTTGGCAGTGTTCCAACTGCAAGAAGGATTTCGACGACCAATATCTCTACAATGCACACATCAACCCGAAGAGATGTAGATTCAATCCTCAGTGTCGAGATATAGTTAGAGAATGGGCACGACTATATATGCTACGCTATCCTGGAGTTACCCGAATTCCCAGCCCCTGTAAGTTTACCGTTCTCCATGATGAATTCGTTGTGCTGATGGCTTCTTGATAGATTGTGATGAGGATGACTGGTTGCCTCACAGAATATGGGAAGAATGTCAAGCCATGTTACGTGATACATCGACTTCTTTTTTAGATCAACAAGCGCGCACAGAGAGGGAGGCAGACCACAGCACTTTACCTCCCACAGATTCTATTCCTGATGAATCGCATCGTGCCGCCTCGCAGTTTGTGATCGACATGTTGAATCTGCTCAATACACTGATCTCCAATCATCCCGATGGCGTTCTTGCCACCGGCGCCACGCTAGGTTTCACCAACAATCTCCAACCCAGCGGAAACCCACCATTGTATCACGGCGCGAGCTATCCCCTCAGTCAAATTTTTCACGATACTGCGCAACATTTTGGGACCTTGGCTGAGAGAGCCTTGTATGGTGAGCTGGGGCGTATACAAACCATCGCCAACGAAGCTGCGACAGTGGTGGACATGGCAAATGACCACCCTCCGCATGAACCGCCCCAAGACCACAGTACACCAGTACCAGAGAGCTTTGTTTCCACCCCTATTCAACCTCGTGAATACATTTTCGGCTCCAGTAACACTACTATGCCGCATGATTGGCTTGGACAGCCCCAGCCGACACAACATGAGCCGACAAGACCTCGTAGCATCAACTATTGTGCTCCTCTTCTGAGTAGACAATCAAGTCGTGCCGACTTAGGCACCTCCTCGTCTCATACGCCTTTCCCGTCACAAGCAAATTCATCTTCGGCATATGACCCGATAGAAGGCTCGCTTCTCACTCCCCTCACTTCGCCGCACCACTACCGTCGACTGTCCGAAAGCACTGAAATTTCAGACTTGGACAGCACGCAAACGATGTTGCCAGAGCACATGGCATTGCCTGAAGAGTGCCCGGCATTGGATGATCCAAATTATACGAATACGCAATGGCCTCAAACCATCGATCCTCGGTTTTTGGAGCCAGCAGAAGACCATCCAGAAGATGTTTTAGAAGACCTCAATAGAGATCTTTATGAAGATCCATCATGACTGTAGATGATTTTGTTGTTTTCTAGCGGGAGTAATGTTTGGTTTGTTTCTCCCTTGTTGTAACTCATTTTAGATTTAGATATCTTGGATTCAATTTCTGAAAAATACAATTTTTTGATCCCGAAATCTTTTCAGAATGTATGCGCCGCTATAATCCTATGCGTACGGGTCCACTTCACAACCGACTCTGAATCTTCTCCAGCGTATCACCAAGCGCGTATTCCGAAGCCGCAGCTTTGCTCCTCACCTTGTCGCCTTCCTCCTTCGTCACATAACGAGCCTCCACCGCCGGGTTATACGCAAACTGACTGACATGCTTGACGTCGTCATCACTCAACTTGACATTCTTGCCACCATCAGCACGCTTGTACACATTGATGACGACAGCCCCACCCAACCCCAGATTATGCTGCAATGCTACATCTGCGCCCTCAGCAAGCCTGTTGTTAGCCCAGCCACGCAACTGCCATGTCAGTTCTGCGCATTGCGCGAGACCCGTTGCACCAAGCGGATGTCCCTTGCTGATAAGGCCGCCCGAAGGATTGATAATGGGACCTTTACCGCCATACGTAATATCGCCATTACGCACCATCAGATGCGCTTTCCCCTGCTCACTGAACCCCAATCCCTCGAGCAGAATAAGCTCATTGGCCGAGAAGCAATCGTGGAGTTCGGCAACTTTGACGTCCTTGGGATTCACACCAGCTTCCTTCAACGCGGCTTGCGCTGCGCGCTTCGTCATGTCGTAGCCGACGAGGTCCATGGAGGACTTGGAGTAGAGCTGCGGCGTGTCCGTCATGAGTGACTGGCCTGCAATGAGAATAGCCTGGCTCTTGAGATGCGGACGGGCGTCTAGAAACTTCTGGCTCACGAGTACGGCGGCGCCTGCGCCGTCGCTGGTGGGACTGCATTGCAGTTTTGTCAGTGGAAAGTGGATCATGGGCGACTTTTCGATCTGCTCGAGCGTGTAGACGTCTCTGAATTGGGCGTAGGGGTTCCGCGAGCTGTGCTCGTGGCTGATGCGTGCTATTTCTGCAAAGTCGCGGGCTTCGGCGCCGTACTTTTCCATGTACTCTTTGCCGGCGTTGGCGAAGTACTGCGCGTTGGGTGGGGAGTTGCTGATGCCGCGGGTGTCGGCCATCATGCGCATCGACAGGCCCATGGGCGAGGGTCGATCACTGAAGACGGACTTGATGGAGCCTGGTTGCATTTGCTCGAATCCAATCACAAGAGCGCAGTCGATGGCTCCGTTTTTGATCATGGTGCGAGCAAGATGCAGGCCGGTTGAGCCTGTGGCGCATGCATTGTTTGTGTTGTAGATTGGGATGCTACTTGCGAGTCAGTATACTCGAACCATGCTAGTAAAAGTGGAATGCTCGTAGTATCTGACCCGGTCATACCGAATTGGTAGAAGATTCTCTGACCACTCGTCGTGTCGCCATAGCAGTAGCAAGCGACTCCAGTTTCGACATCGTCGTAGTTGATTTGCGCATCCAGCATAGCCTTGACGCCAGCTTCGTAGCCCATTTCCGGGTAAGCTCGGGTCTGTCGGGGCTTGATGAACTTGGTGAGGCCCACGCCCAGCACGTAGGCCGGTACTTCATTCTTGGGTGTCATCTTGAAGCTATTCTAGGAGACTGATGATGCTTTTTTCAAGAGTGTGTGATGATGAAGATGGATAACTATGCTAGGTGTAAAGCTCGCGCGTACTAGAATAGTTGACCTATAAACTGGCTACCATGAGCCGAGGATGTACTAGGCCACCCCCTCATGCACCTACTACCCTACCCCGCATATCCTTACCCGCCCTTGTCTTATTAGTCGACCTACTCGACGTCTGTCGGTCGCTATGCCATCGGAATACCGGTGCAGCCTCATTGACAGTTGACAGACGTAATGTGCCTGTCTGCCATGTGGCAATGCCTGCCCAGGCGCCCTAGCAGGCGTTTAGTAGACCCACATGCCCCAGAAAAAGGACATTACCTAGTATGTACATAATCTCTCTCGTCCCATCCATCGATGTATCCAGACTCATGCTCCATACATGGTAGCCGTGAAGGATATTTTCTTTTTCCATCGATGGAGACCAGATAAGCTCCATCCTGAGACGGTTTCCCACTTATTAAATTAATCTTCTTCGTTAGCAATGCTCCATGCGATTCAAGGAAACAGTCCAATAGCTGACTGGCTGATTATGCGATAGGTTCATGAGTGAAACGGTGTCGGATGTGGCCCCTTCATCCTAGCCATCACCAACACTCCGACCACCCGCTTCCGTCAACAGCTCCAAATCGTTCCTCCTTTCCGATGGTTTCTTGCGCTAAGACTCTTTCTGTCCTCGACAGAGTTTGCCTTCCGAAAAAGCGCCCTGAGATTGCCCGCTGAGCGAGGATAACAATACCACGATGACTTGATCGCGTTCCATTCCAGCCCCTTTCATATTTATTATTCATGTCCTCTTGGCTACTCTGGTATTGTCGATTGTAATTCAGCCCGGCCCTCGCAACGAGCATGTCGAACAACAAAGCGGGCGCATGCTCGAACGCATGCAATCTGTGCGACTTGGTGTTTTTTCACGGCGGCCCACAGGCAATTTCCAGCGGACTCGGCCTTTGTCTCGGCACCTGTTTCGAAACAGCTAGACTCCACCCCGACGACGTCAGAAAAATGCCGAACGGGGCGTTGAAACAAGCAAGCCAGCAAATCGCATTGCCTCGATTGCTGTATCGTGCACTGGCCCTAGTTGCACTTGTATGCTGTGCAATTAACCTCCCACATTGGTGGAAGCGCCAGGAACCATCTTGACATACATAGCGCCGCCCGTGAACCATGATCCTGGACCACCGAAGTCCAGAATACTGTTTTGCATGATCGCAGGGCTGTAATCCGAGCTTGCTTGGTGGGGCACATGTCGGGAATGGCTTTCTCTCGTGGACATGGCAGATTGAGTATGACTTGGCACGCATTGCAAACGGCCTACATATAGAGAAGCACGCCGCGACATCCATGTTCGCTACACGCGCTGTCTCGCTCTACCATTCTTTCACTCTTTCTTTTTTGCTCGTTCCTTTGAACGTTGCTTTCCACTCATTGCACATAGCCTTGACGGCTTCACACTTTCTTGTCGGCAGAGCCACACACACACACAACTCACACTCTCTTTCATATTCCGCTCACAATTACCAAAATGGCTCGTTCGTTCTTTCTTACCTCGGCCCTCTTCGCGCTACGCGCTGTGGCTCAGACCTCTACGGCCTTCACGGATGAGAAGACTGGCATCAAGTTCCAGGGTGTTGTTGGCGACTCAGGATACAGACTTGGTTATGCCATCCCTGAGACTCCTACAACCGACTTCATTGCTCAGATCCAAGCACCCATCACCAATGGAGGTGGATGGGCTGGTCTCAGCATGGGTCAGTCCATGACAAGCAACCTACTCATTGTTGCTTGGCCCAACGAGGGCAAGGTTCTCTCGTCTTTCCGTCAAGTTGATGGTTACACCAGCCCGCCTGTGGTTACTGGTAACTTCTCGATGAAGACAATTCCCGATGGCACATTCGTCACCGACAAGGCCTTCTCATACACATTCCTGTGCTCCAACTGCCTGAGCGACGACTCGTCTCTCGGCCTCGTCATCTCCGAAACTCTCAACATCATGGGCTGGGCCTGGTCAGACAAGGCCTTGACCGATTCGACCACGGCTTCTGCTGGCCTCAACTACCACGACGCCGGCTTTGGCGCTTTTGGTCTGAAGATGTCTGACGCAAAGAGTGCTGATTTCGCTAAATGGGCTGCGCTTGCTGTTGGAGATGCTCCAAGTGGAGGTGCTCCGAGCGGCGGAAACTCCACGGCCCCTGCAGTACCTACAACTCCAATATCCGGCAACACTACTGCTATTGTTGCAAATGAGACCTTCGACTACATCGTTGCAGGAGGTGGTGCAGCTGGAATCATCGCCGCTCAGAGGTTTGCAGAAAGTGGCGCTTCGGTCCTCTTGATCGAGCGTGGTGGTCCTTCATACGCCTTCACTGGCGATGTCAAGACGCTTTCTTGGAACAGCTCTGTCTCTATGTATGATGTGCCCGCATACGGCTACTATCTCAGCGATGTCGGTAGCCCTGCTTACTGTACCGATACTGCCGACATGGCAGGCTGTCTTCTTGGTGGTGGCACTGCTGTCAACGCCATGATGTACGTCAGGCCCCAGGAGCGCGACTTCGACGACAAGTGGCCTACTGGCTGGAAGTGGGCCGATGTCTCCGCTGCCGCAGACCGTCTGTACGAGCGTAACCCTGGACAGACCTACGGTTCCCAGGATGGTGTCCGCTACGACGACGGTGCTTTCACTGTTCTGTCCAAGTTCTTTGCTAGCCAGGGATGGAAGGAGACCGACTTCATCAAGAACCCCAACAACAAGGTCGATGTCTATGGCCACCCACCCTGGAACATTGCCAATGGTATACGCTCCGGTAGTGTCCGAACTTACCTCCCTCTTGCCCAAAAGCTTGACAACTTCAAGCTCATGATGAACACCAACGTTGTTCGAGCTGTCCGCGAGGGTTCTGCTGTTTCTGGTGTCGAGGTTGAGTCTGCTGATGGCAAGCGCGTCATCTACAACGTCAAGGCTGGAGGCCGTGTCGTCCTTTCGGCCGGTGCCATGTCGACTCCTCGTATCCTTTTCAACTCTGGCATTGGCCCTGCTGCTCAACTCAAGACTGTTGCTACCGGCACCACCGGCGTCAAGCTGCCTGCTGAGGCTGACTGGATTGACCTCCCTGTCGGAGCAGAGATCAAGGACCACCCGATCTTCACCGTCCAGTTCAAGACCAGCTCTCCTCTTACTGCCACTGACAAGAAGGCCCTCATCTCTCCCAACCAGACCACCATTGACCTCTTCGCGAAGGGCTCCGGCATGCTTGCCGAGTCTGGTCAGCGCCTCAACTGGTGGTCCTCTGTCAAGACATCCGACGGTAGTGAAGTCTTCTTCCAAGGTACTTGCA